CCCCTCTCTGTTACACTAGGGTGAATCTGTCCTGCTCTACAGAGATCCTAGTGAGGTATTAGGTACGCAGGTGTTAGCTGCATTCCCATGGTAAACAGGCTTTTGTGTGCCTCCTCTATGGATTCGTATCAGGACATCCTTCTATGACCAGTGGCACTCATCAGCCTGCTCTCCGATGGCAGAAGAACCCTTCCAAGCACAGCTTCAGACTGTATCAAGCATTTCCCCTGCACCCAGATGGTGTTTAAAGCAGATAATTCAACCCAACACACCCAGGAGTGAGGGAGGTATCATTTTCCCACAACGGCTGCGGTGAGAAAGGGGCACTCAAAGAGGCCGTGCTCACCCAGCACCACCCAGCGCTGCAGATCTTTCAAGTCTCACCAACCCAAACTTCCCAGGTCCCAGGCTCACTGCCAGTCGCGCGGCCAAACAAAGAGCACCTCCCTGTTTCATTGAGGCTTCCTGGAGCTCCGCTGGGATTGCACAGGCCCTGTTGTGACCAAATGGGGAGGGAGGGCAGCGCTCAGCTGCAGGGACACCTCCCCAGCCCCCAGCCCCGGGGCCTGCCTGCAGCATCAGCCCCCGTGCAGAAGCGAGCCTGCAGCCCTCTTCCCCATCCCCGCTCAGCTATTAAATCCACACCTCTGCAAACTCAGCTTGCGAGTACTAACTCTCCACAGCACTGAAACCTGATCTGAAGAGATTTGCGTGACCAGCCAGTAAAACCATGACTGAAAGTGCTTTTCCATCACTGCTTCTGGCAAGGGCTCCCTCCTCCTGGCAGCTGCTGGGGCAGGGTGATTGGATTCTCTAGTACTGGCAAAACACCGTATGACTGCTTTCCAAACCACCCCAAGGAACAGTTAAACCTACTCAGACAGGCCAGAGACATCATCCTTATTTCTCCTGAACAGGACACAAGCTCAAACACCACTGAGAGAGCAGTTTCACAAGTAGACTGCTTGACTAGGATAGAAAGGAGCTTTTGTACCCGGATACTTATCTAAGGAGTCCTGCCAAGAGATAATGAGAGGCACAAGATTATGATCTCAGATAAATGCGTCTGCTGTGAACAAGACTGCATAGTTTATTCCTGTCATGCTTCATTTTAAGTTATTCAAAATCAAAGCAAAGTATTCTTATTAAGTGAATATGTCCTAGATGTTTTAAGTTCAGGATCACGATGGACCAAAGACTTGCTCTGAGGTATACGGTGGTGGCAGGCGCACAGCAAGATCCCAGTGTCTCCGGAATGAAATGATATCTACAGTGCAAAAAAGGACATTGATGTTTTCCTCATGTGGGACCTGAGACACTGCTCCAGAATACCCAGAAAATAGGAGGCAGCACCTCTGCTTCACTGCATGGGCCAACTGGGAGATCAGTACCATGGGTGCCATTGGGAAGAAGTGTCTCTGATGACCAGCTTCAGCCTGGCAAACCTCTAGGCAACAGGAGTAGTATCACAATGAGCTTGATGCCTGAGGATGCTGACACAGTCCCATCTGCTCTTCATCTCCATGAAGCTGCATACTCTTCTCTGTGCTGTGTTCAAGGATGTTGCCATATCCCCTGTTTCAGCTGACTTTCTAACAAAGAGACATCTGGTTGCTACAAAATGTGCCTTATTGACCAGTACCGCATGGAGAGAGGTTGCCTCCAGAAGTTGTACCATGCCCAGCATGTCTTTCCAATCATCTTTCTCTCATGCTCAGAGTGGAGTTCCCCTTTCTCCATTTTGCCCCATTTTCTTTATGTTTATCCTACTGTAAGGCTACACTTTAGTCTGCTCAGGCGTTTCCAGGTCAGGAATACAGGAATAATACATTAATGAATGTATTAAACAAATGAGGACTTCTGCTGTCTTTAATAAACTCTCCTCATACACTGCTTACACCAGTGTTTTGATGATGTTTGTTCTTTGGCTGGTCTTGACATTTGCCGGTATCTTCTCATAACAAGATAATCCAAACTGAACTCAGGTTCTAGTCAAACCAGAAATGAATAGAGCTGGTAAATCTTCCCCCTGCCTGAGAATACTGCACAAAATGATGCTGGCATTTTTCTATTGCCCAATGGTTTTGCAAATTTAGCTCTAATTTGCTGTACTCGCTCACCCCATATCTCTTGCAGCTTTAAATTCTTACTCCTTGTTATGTCTTTTGTTTCATTCTTTCTTATAGGATTCATTTTCCTTTTCCCCAGTCAGACCCTGCTGTCGTTTATCTCCTCCCCGTGCTCCAACTGTGCTCACACACTGTGGTGGCTGAGCTCTGCAGAAGTAGCTGGATGCACACTAATCCCATTAAGGGCCCTCTAGGCACCTGGGGTTTTTCAGTTTTCTGTGCTATTTTGATTTCAGCTTCAAATCTCACTCCCTTGCAACTTTAGATCATTAAAGGGTTAAGTGAGATATATCCAGTAAATGAGATAAATCCAAATAAAGGGATTTGGATCTCCCATTTCAGCGTGTTGCTGTGTCTCATTGCCTTTTCTATCAGTGTTTCAGGGGTTTCCAAACACACCCAGACAAGGGCTCTTGCCAGAACCCATCTGGATTAAACTGGGTCCCAGCTGCAAATAGCACACTGTGGCTGGAAGGGTTAGTGAAAAGATTCTGCAAAAAACCCTCACAATAACTGTTTGACACGGCTCCTTGCAAAGCAGAGAGAAAGTGCTATCTAAAATGTTGATTCTCCTGCCTTCAGATCTCATTTCAGATTTTTTTTCAGAACATGAATTTTTATCATCTCTTCCCTGAAGTATCTAGACAGGAAAGCCTGCCACCCTGGATGCCATCCCTCATTTTTGATCCTGAAAAATGGAGAAATGAGACATTGATGGTCAGTCTTCCTGGCTCCTCTAAGAACAATCTTATCCTCTTTTCAGGCTGCAGAGGAAGGAGGAGGCAGCAGAAGCCGTGGTTCCTGGTACCAGCAGTGTGAGGCCAGAGTTAGGGGAAGGGCAATCAGCCCCTTCTTGTTCCCATGGGAGACACACTGCACCCCTTGTCTGCAATGAGCATTTCTGGGAGGAAGACAGTTCTCTGTACTGTCCTCGCCTCCAGATTCCCCCTGGGGCCGTTCGGGTCCGTAGGTATCCCTTTTTGGGGCAAGAGCCCCCATAATGTATTTTGGCCATTTGAGAAATGTGTTACTAAGATCCAGATCTGCTCTGCCTGTTGCCTTCATATGCTGACTGTGGCGTTTGCTGTACAGCCATGTGGTACCCTGAAGACACTGCCTCTAGAGCGTTTGTGTGTGTAGAAATCGATTTTTTGTAGATTTTAAGGTCAGAAAGAACCGCTTCAATCTTCCCATGTAACCCTTTGCACAGACTTAAGAACATCATCTGGAAATTTCTGCCCTTCAGGCCCACAATCTCTGCTTGAAGAAGGTTGTAACTTTCAAAAAGATACTTAGCCTGGGGTAAAGATTGTAATAAATGATAAAACCATCCTATCCTGAGGTGAGTTATTGCTGTAATTACTTAATTGCTCACCCCAGGCTTTCAGCCTCTTCATCATGCAATTTAACCTCTATTCCATGTTTCACGGTTTTGTTCCCTTCTCTGTATTTCCTCTGCCACTTCTATTATCCCATTTAATGTGTGGCACCAATGCTGCATTCAGTAACACATCTATAACACACGCCTTAGTTTTACTTCAGTGCTTTGACAGCCAGTTTCCCGCTCCACATCTTTACTAGAAACCTAACAACCTAATGTGGCTTTCCATTTTAGATTAAATAAGCCATTTGTAAAGGTGCAGAAGATGATCAGAAGATACTGTAATAAATGGGTTAATTCATAGCCATAGAGTCAAGCTGTTCAACAGGCCACTCTAGTCATTTATAATCTTTCTGCTGCAGTAACCGTAGTTATTTTTAATCCATACTTCTCGTGACGATAATGAGCTTATGTAGCGTGCCCCTCACCCGAGCACGCAGTTTGCTACTTGCTGCTATTCATCAAGTTCACCCACTGGGCTCCTTTGATTCATTGGTCTCCAGTTGCAGATGAGGGTATGGCAATCTCAACTGAATGTTGCCCAAACGGAGATGTTCAACTATTAATAAATAATCGCTCACATTAGGAGACAATCAGTTAAAACTGGCAGAGTCCTTTTTTTCATGCTTTTTTTGCTTTCCACTGCTTATTTTCCCTCCTCTTCTCTCACCTGTGTAAGATCCCCAGACATGGCTTGGAGGACAAGTGCCTCGGCAGACCTGTGCTGACGCTGCCAAGGTGCCAGCTCTGCCCAGCCTTGTCAGTCCTGTGCAAACCTCAGCAGCAAGCAGCGGCACAGCACGAACACCCTGGTGCCTGCAGAAGCCTGCTGCATGTCCCATGCTCCTGGTCCCAAGCCCAGGTCCCCGGTGGGGAGGAGATGGTGCTGAGGTGACGTGCCAGAGCGACCCACCAGCATCCTGCAATGCAATAGGGAGGCCCTGCCAGACAGAGATCAAATGTCAGGGGTTTTTTTGGGGGGGTGTGGATGCGACCCCTTTAAAGCAGGCACAGCCTGACCTCCTGCTGGAGAAGCTGAGACCCGTCTTCAGGAATCAGAGTAATCCCGGGTGATTTTATCCCACTCCACTTCCCTAAATCTGCGGCTGCTGCTGCTTGGTGAGGGGATGAGGGGGTTGGTGGGGATTCCGTAGCCGCTGCGGCTCCCGGCGCAGAGCTCCCTGCCGGCACGGCCTCTCCTCGGGGCACGGAGATACACCGCACCTGTGGGTGCCCACCAACAAGAGTCCCTGGTGGGTTTTTGACCACCTACCTTGCGCTGGAGACCCCTGACGGTGCTCGGCAGCAGAAGCGGCGTTCCCGGGGCGGAGGCAGCCGGGGTC